GCGGTGGCCGCATCGTCTGCAGTTTCTGCACGGCGTGCGGGGCCAATACGGGGCGATGGAATTCCATGGTACCACCGTGAGTTGGTGAACCGGGAGGAGAAGATGGAAGAGAGGGAAATTGGTAGCGATAACGACGAAGCCGGGGGATATGAAGTATTGCGTGTTATACGTAGTTGGGTAATTGGGGCATCTTGGATCACTGGTTACGGCACAGTGGAACTCCCTGGGGCACAATCGATTCTCGGTTAGGCAGGGAAATTCCAGGTATCTCCGCCTACGATATTCTTCTTTTTCCCAGAGCTCGAAGTCCCCTGAGTCTCATGTGTACGTTATCTTGTCATTGCGGCATAGTGGAAAATTTCTCGCCTATCCCGATACCAGAGGTGCCAGGTTCGCCAACAATCGCGACTCGCCACGCGTAGACACGTGTAGTGCGCGCGATTCAGATCGCGTTTATACGTATCCACACGAGGTGTTCGCTTGCACCCGGGCCTGTCGGCGGTCAAAGTGAGAATTTAATCCCTTACGCAAAATCGTCACGTGTCCTGGATACTACCCAATCATCTAATCACTCAGCAATCATTTTCGAGTATGCAAGGTGTCATCACACATCAGACATCGCAACAACATCATAACTCATACCATAACAACAGCGGATCGCAGTGAAAAGCAATGATGATGACTAGGCAAAAACGATAAACATATCATTCCATCCGAGCTAGTTCATCCCATACACACAAAAGAGGGAGGACCGAGACAGAATGAGCCATCATACAAGGACCAGTATTGAAACAAAGATGTCGAAGGGAAATGAGAGCGAATCGCTCGAGCCGAAATCAAAACTTATATACAAAACTAAAGGAAAAGACAAAGAAAATTGCAAATCCACATCCATCAACCTCAGCTCTCTCTTCCTCTCTCTCTCTCTCTCTCCGATGCGGACAGTCCGTCGTCACGCACCAACCCACGAAGTCGTCACCCCGCTTAGTCCTCTTGCACCCGTCAGGTTTGCCCGCGCGCTAGAGTCCGTCGTAGCCCTATGTGTCAACCCCGCGCATTCGGCACCAGCTCGTTGGGTCGCCCGACTCCCACTTCAACTTACCTTTTACTTCGCTCGTGAGCCGACCCTCACTCCTCGCGCTACCCCGAGCTTCCAGCAACTAGTTAAGAGAGCTACCTAATCGAGCAGCCGAAATTTATAGCGTATTAGCGTGCATGCAAGCGTGAAGAACACAGAATTGCAAGGACTTAGAAAGGAGATTAGGAGAGAGAGCGCCTACGTTTTGCATGGCTAGACTGCGACGTGAGGGACGTAGCCACTCTCCACACATCGATCCGATCATGCAGCCTGCGGGCTAGACCGCCACAGCAAAAAGGAAAGGAAAGGGAGGGAAAGACGAAGCTCAAGAAGAGAGATACAGTTACAATGGCGCCTGCCGAAAAATTACAGTTACACACGAGATTAAGGGCGCCGACTAATCAGAGCTCCGCTGCAGCCGCAAAAAGAAGCGCGCAAGAAAGACAGCGCGCGACAAAAGAAATCCCGAATTCCTAAATTCCTAAATTCCTAATCTTATTGCAAAAAGAACTTCCATAAAACGCAAATTCCGAAAAGAAAGTCCGAAATTCCGAGAGCCATTGAGGGCTCGACAAGATCCAAAAAAGAAATTCAAAAAGAAGCAAAACTTCCCGCGCGTCCTCTGCGCCTAAAACCCGACAACAAAACAAGAAAGAAGCGACGTCAAACATTATTAATCGCGACTTTGTCGGCGCGACAGCCACTCAATCGGCCATCTCGGGACTTGCCCGGCCCGGAACCCGGTCATCCGAAAAGAAGCGACGCAAAAAGACGAAGAAGCGAGGACACCGATGCAATTTCCCTTCGATCCCGATCTCCCGTAATTGGCCCAACCTTCCCATCTTAGGACCCCTCATTGCTATCGCGCTGAAAATCAGGTGGAACAGAAATTGGTTCGTCACATTCACGATTTTCGTGACTGGTAACCGGCCCACGTTCACCGACCCCATGAACGGTGACCGGCACTGTGCAGAGCTACAACGTAGATTTATGGCCCATATTTATTTCCTGGTGAATATCAATCCGTCGGCTTTGTACGATCTGGATGTGTAATTGTGAAAACTTCATTTGCCCTATTTTCTCTCTTTTTGCCATATCACGAGCTCACAGTGATTCGCTGGCCTGCCGTATCCCTTTACTGGTTGCATATGCTCTGTTTAGAGCGCAGATGCAATGATCACTATCAGGAGAGTGGGTTCCTTTACATGTACATGCCCCACAGCGAAGTGGAAGTTCACGAGTAGATCTTACGGCTAAGGACATTTGAGCGCTTAAGCGCACCATTGCCAACCTCCGTGATCCTTCATGTATGCCTCTAACATTTCATCCTAATAAGCGACGAGAAGGAGCCTCAACTAACCATTGTAACTTTTGAATGTGTGGGTTTTTATTTGGGAAAGTTAATACATTCCCGCGATGAAACCTTTCCGACCAGGCAAAAAGTGTCACAGGAACCAAAATGACTTTTGGTGTCATTTTTGCACCCTGGCTGGGCCGGTAACGCCCGCTGTGCAAACATTGCAGGAAAGTGTTTTACAGGTGCAATAACGACGGCAAAAGTCATTTTGGGGCCTGCGGCACTTTTTGCCCCATTTGGAGGGAAATGAATACGAATTTCAAGGTTTTCTCGTTGGGTTTCCCTTCTTCTTTCTTCGGTGGGCTGGCGAGAACCATCTTCTTCCACCAGAGTCAGGTCAGCCTTAGAACCAGTGCACAGAGATTCTAGTTCCAACCTGGAACTAGAACCTCTTTTCCTGAAATACTAGGCACAAGCCCTTTATTTCTTAAAATACTTGGCACACCCCTTTTTATACACTTTCATGGGGCCCCGTCCGCATTCTGTAAGGAAAGCCACACCGGGCATGAGGTTTCTTGTCATAGGAAGATGAAACCCGTTCAGTTACAGATGTGTTGGAACACCGGCAGCTCTGGTGATTCACAAGTTGTGTCCTTGTCCGGAGTACATTCTTGGAGACGAGCACGACCTACCATGTGTGCAGTCTCCAAGGGCTATAGGTTGCACAAGGGTGAAAGGAGGCAAAATGAGGGATGGGGAAAGTGAGATAGAGGCGGTTTGTTGTGTCTATGTGAATGTGCATGCCAGCATGCACAGACACATGAGTGAGTGTGTGTGTGTGTGTGTGTGTGTGTGAGAGAGAGAGAGAGAGAGAGAGAGAGAGAGAGAGAGAGAGANAGAGAGAGAGAGAGAGAGAGAGAGAGAGAGAGAGAGAGAGAGAGAGAGAGAGAGAGAGAGAGAGAGAGATTTCAGTGGGGAAGGGGGAGCGAAATGCAAAGACAAGAAGGGTGGACGGGTGGATGGTCGGCAACTCGTAGCAGGCTCAGTAGCACTATGAGAAGCCGAGATGGGGCGGGGTTCGAAGGCTTGTGCTTATTTCTGCTTTTTTCTTTGGCCATGGGCCGTGCCATGAGGAGCTGGCTGGTGCAGCCTGCAGATGCCTGCACTGCAGCGGAGAAGCCTGGGGAGTGGAAAAGCAAGGGGGGATGAAAGCTACGTTCAGAGACACGGAAGGCGTCTGAAAGGGTGCGGCCGACACTGGTTGTGGGCCCCTCCTATGAGTGCCCCTCTATACCGACACTTTCTTTCGGGCGTCTGGAAGATCCTGGTCCCAGCTGTAGAGAGACTGACGGACAGGTGGCAGACGTCTCAGCCGAGTGGCAAGCTAGCCACTAGCGTGAGCCGAGCGCGCAGCAGACGAAAGGAGAGGGCTTCATGGTTGCGGTCCGACAAGCAGTCGGGACGCTACGAGATCACGCGGCCTTCCGCCGCCCGCCCGCTCGCTATGTCCCTCCCCCTCTCGCGTCGCTCCACATGTTCTGTCGACTTATGTTGTCGCGCTCTCCTCCTGTTGTTTTGTGTCCATTCCTGTCCCCGTGATGTTGGATTGTTGTTTTCACGCTCCCCCCTGCCCCCCTCCCTCCCCCCCCCCCCCCCCCCCCCCCCCCCCCCCCCCCCCCCCCCCCCCCCCCCCCCTTTTTCCCCCCCCCCCACCTCCCCCGCCTCTCCCACTCTCCCGGCTCTCAATCCCTCTGCACTTGTTCCGCCCACTATCCTGTGTCCTCGAGTGTCGGTGACTCATGTTGCCTGCCCTGCCTGCGTTCCACTGCGCACTGCGCAGGTCTCTGCGCTCGGCTCAGCGCAGCTCTGAGGTTCGTTGGGCGGCTCGGAATTTGCCGAGTTTATTAAAGTGGCGCCAAAGAAAGCAATCACGTTTCCTACTTTCCTTTCCTCGATTCCTCGATGTTGTGTTGTCGACAGTGTTTGTTTTTCTAATTTCAAATGGTTTGAGAGGCGGGGGAACGAATTCGGTTGGCGCCGACGATAGATAGCTTTTGCTTTTGGTTTTGGCTTTTGCTTTTGCCTTTGGCCATCCTCGAGAGGTAGAACTTTCGAGGAAGGGCTGCTGATGCAGTCATGGCCTTTTTTGTCAAGGCGGGCAAAGCCGCATCCGCATGGAGTGGCTGGTCGCCACTGTGATTGCGCTGTTGCTCCGTCCCTACCTCCCTCGTCCCTCCTCCCCCCTCCCTCCCTCCCTCCCTCCCTCCTCCCGCTTGAATAGACTATACGTCCGTAGCGAGTAGATAGCGCCGTGACCGTGGAACGAAACGATACGGAACGAGACGACAGCATTCAGGGCTATAGAGGATACGACACGAAACGATACGATACACAATTGAGTTGAGCGGCTTGTGCAAAGCCGAGGAGCGGGAAGCAAAGACGAGAGTGGTAAGGAACGGAACGGAAAGGAAAGGAAAGGAAGGAAAGGGAAGGAAAGGAGAGGGAGGGGAGGCATAGTAGTCGGCGTAGAGGCCAGCCAGTCCCTCGAGATTGCCGAGCGGGAACCAAAGCAGCAAACAAGTAGTGTAGTCGTAGTTGTAGTGGTAGTGGTAGTGGTGGTGTAAGCTCGCATCCCGTTTCGTCGAGAGCGGGGGATACTAGTGGAGGCAGTGATGGCCGAGGGAGAAGAGAGCTTCCATCCCTGCGCCGGCCAGGCTGCTGCTCCCCCTCCTCCCACTCCCACTCCTGCTCCTGCTGCTACTGCTGCTGCTGGTCTTCCTCCTCCTCCTCCACCTCCTCCTGCTGCTGCTGCTGCTGCTGCTGCTGCTGCTGCTGCTCCTGCTGATGCTCAGCTTCCGATTTCCAGCAATCCCCCGTGCTCGACTGCTACAATTCCCGCCTCTTCACCTATGACTGGTAGTCCCATTACCTCTCCCGCTCCTACCAGTGGGGGGATTGCTCTTTACCATCATGTTGCGGGCTCACAACACCCTCTCCCTCTCCCAAACTCTCGAGATGGGCCCGGCAACCTCCACAGCGACGGGCCGGCTGCGAGCATTACCGCCGCTGCGCGCGCATCATGCCCGGGATCGACCGTCGCCTCCTCTCTGCAGCTCCATTCTCCCCGCTGCTCTCCGCGTGCCGCCTCCGGTGCGGCGGGAGCTGTGGGCATCCTGCTGGAGCTGGGACCCTCCTCTCGGAAGCGCGCGCTCTCAAGGCCATCGCTACCTGCCTGCGAGATCGCGCTAGATTTCGAGCGCCATATCGGCGGAGAGTCCCCCGCGCACGAGGGGAGCGCCGAGAAACGGCAGAGGTTGCACAATGCCGTCGTGGGCGGGGAGAGTCACGATCGACTACCGTTAGGCGGGGCGGCAGCCGCAGTGGGCGACCCGCTCAGAACGCAGGAATGCGGTTGTTGTCTCATAAATGGAGCAAGGGGGAACGGAGGAGCCCTCTGTCATGGTGCATGTCGACTTAAGGGCCCAGGAAGTGCAGGCATAGGAGGAGGAGGGGGAGGGGGAGGAGGAGGAGGAGGAGGAGGAGAGGAGAGGAGAGAGCGGGCGCGGCATTTTGAGGCGGCGCGACATCGCGAGGTACACAGAGGCGAGTTGCTCGTGCCTGTGACGGCGGCTCGGAGAGTAGCGGCGGCAGGCGGAGCGGTGCGCGGGGATTGTGCTGGGGGGGATATTGGGGGGAGTCGGGCGCATATTGAGAACAGGGCGATGGAGATCACAACAACGACGCATGTGGTGAAGAGAGAGAGAGAAGTGGAGGAGGACGGTGGGAACCCCGTGATAGCGCCATCGACGAGACTGGCAGGGCCGAGTACATCGGAATGCCTCGCGCGGCAAGCTAACAACTTGGAAGGATCGCTTCTTCTAGAAGGGGAGGCGGCTGCAGGAGGAGGCGGACTTCTGGCAGGTGCATCCGTGATAGGACAGGGAGTGCTGGGAGGTGTAGGTGGAGCCTTGGGAGGAGGAGGAGGAGGAGGAGGAGGAGGAGGAGGAGTGGTAGGAGCAGGAGCGCAACCTCTTTCTTTGACTGCGGTTGGGAGCGGAAGTGCTATTGCGCAGGGAAACAACCCTAGCAGCTTAGCGGTAGTAGGCGGAGGATTAGGTGGTCTGGGAGGAGTAGGAGTTGGAGTAGTAGGAGCAGCAGCAGCAGCAGCAGCAGCAGCAGCTGGAGCAGCAGGAGGAGGAGGAGGAGGAGGAGGAGGAGGAGGAGGAATGAGTGCAAGACAACGACCGACTAATAATCAGCTGCTGTATAAAGCGCATTTCCGGTGGAACCACTATCCATTTGAAATGACATCTGTACCCGTCACAGAAGCTTGTGCTTCGGTAACGGCTACGTTTTTGAACGTCCTTCGATGCATCTACGAGACGGAGCGCCAAAGGAGCATGAACAGTGAGGATGGAGGAGTCAGGAATGTACTTAAGGTGCTAGGAGGGAACACCAGAAGGACAAAGGTGGTGGAATTAAGCAACGCAACCATCAAACTTCCAGATGAGCTTCGGAAACACGCCATCCGCGACGCGGAAGGGAACGAGTACTCCACAAATCTAGATCGAAATCGGTAGGACGAAGGCGACAATCGCCAATCGATCTTCCTCTTCTGAGTTTTCTCTCTACACTCTTTTTTTTTTCTTCCTTTGCTACGTGTTCCATGTCCCAATCATGTCCTCCATGCTCTCTCTCTCTCTCTCTCTCACACACACACACACACACCCCCACCCAATTCCTTTCCTTAAAGCATCATTTTGTAATTGCCCTCCCTCAATCCTTCGTTCCTCTGGATGCATTCCTCTCTCAGTGTAATCTATCTATGATCTATTCTTCTCTGATCTATCTATCTATCTATCTATCTATCTATCTATCTATCTATCTATCTATCTATCGATGATCTACCGATGTATCTGACAGTCTGATTGCGTCCGGCCTTGCTGTGATCCTCCGTACTTATAAATGGATTCAAAGGAACATGAGTGTGGGCGATTAGTCTTTTTCTCCACCCTTTCTCTCTGTGATCTATCTATCTGACAGTCTCATTCAGTGCTGCTTTGTTTCGTGCAAGGGACGTGTGAATGTATATGTGCCTGTCTTTTCGTCTTTGCAATGCCTGGAATGGCAAAGGGACACAGACCGTCTATTCTCGGCGATTCTCTGCAGTCTCTCTCTTTTCTGCTCTCTCGCTCCGTTTCCATCGCTGTCGGCCTGCAGACTTGGACAAGCTTCGAGTCATGAAGCCACCAAAAACCTCGGCATCGTTAGTACGCTGTATATATCTCGTCCGACTTGTTCACGATGTACTCTCTCTCTCTCTCTCTCTCTCTCTCTCTCTCTCTCTCTCTCTCTCTCTCTCTCTCGCTCGCTCGCTCGCGCGCGCGCGCGCGTTATCTGTGTGTTAGCACTTCCGTTTGACTGGACGACTGTTGATCTGTGAGTTGTCGAGGTGATGTACGATCTCTGTCTCTCTCTCTTTCTCTCTCCCTCTCTTTGTCTCTCCCACCCTCATTTTCTCTCCTATGCGCTCTCACATGTGAATGTGTACTTCCCCCTTTCATCCAAATGCTTGACTGTTTGTCTGAATCATCGTTCAAGTTCAACTGTTGTCAGGCGATGTCTCTCTCTCTCTCTGTCTCTCCCATTCGCGTTCTCGTCCTCGCGTGTTAGTCTGTGTTACGTCCTGTGTTCGACTGCTTGACTGCTGGACTGAATCGCCGGACTTGTGCGAGATAATTGAGTTGGAGCGATATGGAATTAGCTCCCTATTCGAATTCCGCCTCCACTATTTAGGACCGTCGACCCTTCAGTGTGTTTAATCAGCTGTGTCGGATCTTCGCTCTGCCATGGCAACGTCACGTGGCTGTTTGGTTTACAACTTCACGTCGCCGCCGTTTGTTATCTTCTTTCCTCATTTTCATGTTCTCAGGATGTATGTATCTTTCCATGTTCTAGCGGAATATTCATTTTCATATGTGTCGCGCTCCTCTACTCCCCACATGCACAAAAGTAAGAAAACTTTGTCGGTGAATCTTTCCATGTTCTTGCGGAAGAGTCATTCTCACATTGCACCTTTGGTGAGTAGCGGAGCGAGGCCCCTGAATATGCATCTCCCTCCCAGCTTTTCTTGGGGGAAAACCCAAAAAGGCTGTGATTCCTTTCGACCAGTTTTCTGTTTTCTAATCTGTTTTCTTCTTTAGAAAACAGAAAGGGAACAGTCATAAAATCTACCCGCGACGAAAACAGAGAGGTTTTATGACTTTTCGCAAACAGAAAACCTCCGCATGTGTTGTCGTATGAACGACGGCATATCGAATGACCTTCGACAATCTTGTTTTCCTTTCCTTCCTTTCCTTGTAGGAGCCCCCGCTGGGGCGAGGTGCCTTGCAAAGAGGATTGGAATTAAGCGCCTGAATCTGAACGAGTTCTGTGCAGAAATGCGGAAAAGAAAATCAATCACGATTTTTTTCTGCATCTGTCAGCGAACACGTTCAGATTCCGGCGTTAAATCCCGCCCATCCTCTGTGCTACCCGTCTTCAACTGAATAGAACGCCCGGTCATCATTATAGCTGTATGTGCAGCAACTTTCAGTCTAGATACAACTACAGTGACCGGGCGTTCAATTCCGGTGAAGACGGTAGTGGGACGTTGCCCCCGGCGTTGTCGAGTCTATTGGATGAATATCAGTTATTGCAATCCCCCTGGTGACTGGTCCCTTCTGCGGAACCTGTTTGGTTCTTTGACCAGACTTTGGTTTGCCTTTTTTTTTTTTTTTTTTTTTTTTTTTTTTTTTTTGGTTTGCCATTTTAATTTGATTTGGCAGAGAACTGGCTGGGTTGTTGTTATCTGCTCGTCAGATATTCCTACTCCTTTATCTCTCAGATTTCTCTGCCTGGGTTGATTTGACAGAGAACTGACTGGGGTAAATATAATTATATACTATATATTTATAATATGTATGTATGTATAAACATATATCGTCCCATATTTCTCTGCGTGGGTTGATTTGACAGACAACTGTCTGGGGTAAATATAATTATATATATTATATATGTATTATTATATAATGTATATGATATGTTATAAAACTCCGACGAAACAGTTTGTCACAGCCCCTCGTTTGTTGTCCTCTTCTCCCTCTCTGCCTACGGTTTACCGGGCAGTTCTATTTGACGATATATAATAATAAGTATGTATACATACATATGTCACAGCCCCTCGTTTGTTGTCCTCTTCTCTCTCTCTGCCTACGGTTTACCGGGCAGTTCTATTTGTGACGATATATACCGGGCAGTCCTGTTTGACGAGGGGCTGTCGTCACAGCGTGTATCGGAGCGCAAAGGCGAAAAAAGACAACAAAAAAGGAAAGAAGTAAGGAAGGAAAGGTCCGCCTTCTCATCACCTTTTACGTACACGGCCGGTCACGTGGATGACAGGTATATAATATATGTATATATAAGAGGTTCTGAACAGGGGGAGTTATAAGGAAGAAGATAAAAAATTGAAATTAATATTCCCTGGTTTTCTTTTCTCCTTTTTTCTCTTTTTTTCGCATTTGGGCTCTGATATTCTTGTGACAATATATATCTCGTCACAGAGAAGTGCCTCGTGAGCCGTTGGCAGAGAGGGAGAAGAGGTCAACAAACGAACGGCCATGACAAACTGTTTACAGTCAAACAGATCAGCCGAGTGAACCGTAGCCAGAGAGAGAGAGAAGAGACAACAGACTCATCAGGAGGCTGAGGCAAGCTGTTCGGTGTTTCACCGACTCATAAGGAGGCTGAAGCGTCTACAGTCTGCGTATAATATATATGTCGTCAAACAGATCTGCCTGGTAAACCGTAGGCAGAGAGGGAGGGAGAGAAGAGGACAAGAAACGAGGGGCTGTGACAAACTGTTTCGTCGGAGTTTCACCGATTCATGTAGAAAGGGGGCGAGAAGAGTGGGGTGCTGTATTGTCCTTTTCCTCTCTTTCGCTCTTTTTCTCCCTCTGTTTTGCTCTCGCCGTGCTTTTCCTCAATTTCGTTTATTTGCCGCACTTTTTTTTTTTTTTTTTTTTTTTAATATTCCCCCCCTCGTAACGGGGCCATCATGGCCTAAAGGTCTCATCCTTGAACTGACCCGCACTAGTTAATTCATAATTCAACAGGTTATACCATTCATTCCATCCTTGAACTGACCCGCACTAGTTAATTCAAAATAATTCAACAGGTTATACCATTTATCAGGATTCGAAGTCAGGTGGTGACGGACCCTGACGGTGGCATGGGTGTGTACCATTCCCTTTTTTTTTTTTTTTTTTTAAACAACCTTCACTACCGTCTTTAACCAAATACAACGTACGGTCATTACAGCCGTATTTGGCGCACCATTCATGCAGCAGAAATGACCGTACGTTCTACTCGGGGGAAGAAGG